ACTGAACTAGAAATCTCTTTCTTTTATTTGTTGACTTTTATAAGATCTCCATTTATGATCTCCAATAATATCTGACTTGTTAAGAGCTGGAGAATAGAGTAAAAGTAGCATAGTTGACTAACTATTTGGTAAAAACAATTGTCAGTTTTTAGAAGTTGGTGTGTGTTGTCATACATGTCCATCTGCCTTGTGACTCTTTTAACCAGGTATGAGCCAGCAGCAGCAGCAGCAGCACCAAGATCCAGTGTCAAGCTTTTCATGTGGGGCTCCCGCCCCACAGAGCCCCCTGTTGTCCCCCAGGATGGGACAGGGTCAGAGCTCAATGCTGCAGCAGAGTCAAGGCCAACCACAAACTCAACCACAGGGTCTGAACCAGGGAGCACCTCCTGGCTACCAGCCCAGTACCGACCTCAACGGATGGTCCCAACCTACCAACATCTCCACCAGCAACAGGTAAAAGCAGATGAACAATTCACTGGATCTTATGTGAACATCCTTCTTGACATGACAAATAACGTCAAGTCCTTTTCTTCATAATCTGAGTCTGTATTTGAAAATATTCTACTGTACATGCTCGTCTTCCAGCATGTACCCCCACCAGTCCCAGCCCCAGTACTCCACACAGCCCAACACAGGAATGTACAGTGGCAGCAACATGAGCCAGGTGGCAGGACAGATGAGCTCCATGGCCTCCATGAATACAGAGCAGGCAAGAGATGCATGATTTCACGTCAGCCCGCTGCTGTTTTATATCCATGGATGACCTCTCCGGAGGTCATGATTAATGATTTTGTTTACATTTGTTGCTCATTATTACCATGGTGTTTTCTTACATTTGTGTTTCAGTGTTATTCCTAAACTAAAGCCTGAGGCATTGCCATGTTTTGTTTTTTTAAGAAGACACATTGTTCCAATGAATTACATTTTTTTGGAAGATGCAACTGTCACATGTGGCCTTAACAATTAGAATGTTTTTCTTGTGTGTTGCGTCAACAAAATCAATCATTAGTAATATATACCTTCCATAACAAAGAAAGATATTGTTGATGATTTTTGTTCTTGTACAGGTGAGTGACAGCGGCCTGATCCTGGAGCAGCTGGCAGGAATTAACATGCTGACACAAGATGGTGATGCCAGTTCTGTAAGTACTGTATATCACAAAAGTCTTGAAACTGTTATAGCCTGCCATAGGCATTCATATAAAATGTTTGTTTTTGTATTTGATTATAACAAATACTTTCTGGAAAATCTACACTTCTCTTGTTCTAGCTCTGTGACCTTAAGTAAAATTGCTACGTGAATGCTATATCAAAAGATTTTTTTTTTTATTTCATTAATCCATCTGTTCAATTAAATGTTAATTTTTCAGGTCCAGGTCATGTTTCATGATTAATGAATGATATTGTCAGGAATCGTTGGTATTTAAAGCTGGGAAACAGCAACAGAAATGTGCTCTAAATGACAATTAATTCCTGCATGAACAAATTGATTCTTGGCCATATTATTGTTGCTGGTTTTCATTCATATTTTTCATACTTTGGTTGGTATGACCATAAACCAGTGAACCCTTCCAAACCCTGGTGTGTGGTTTCTTTTGTTACAATAACCTTGAGATGTTTTTGTTTTTTCTTAATGATTATTCTGACTTTCTGTCCCTTGTAGAATTTTTGCTGACCCCCGCTGTGGTTGAGATGAGGTAACATAGTCACCCATTCACAAACACAGACACCTACACAGCTCAGAACATGGAGAAGCATCGTGATGGAAACGCTGCTCCCTCTATCACACTGGCCAACTCGGAGGCACCAGTCAGAGAGAGGGCAACCAAACCTTCTGGACTGCATTCACTTCAGTGTGGCAGACTTCACACTAACTTAACATTTTATCCAAAAAACAGAATTCAGTGGGGGCTGTCATCTGAACCATACTGTCAGCAAACACACAATAAGAGGTTACAAGAATCTCCCAGAAACAGTGCGTCACTCCCAGCTGATTTGGGGCTCTGTGAGACGTCTTGTATTCTAACTTTTTACTGTAACAGATGACGTCATCTTTAGTACAGTACATGTTATATTTATTTGTATAGCGCAGTTTGTACATTATGACATAATTTGTTATAATAAACCAGGTTTTAAAGCCTGACTTTCCCCTTTTAATATATACACTTATTATATTCAAATTTGCCAAATTAATTTATAATCAGGGAAATACAAGTGGTTCCAGCAAGATTAAAGAGACTAATCATGCGACATTAGTATAAGCACTGTACCATCAGCAAATGAGGAAAATTCTCATCCTTTAGCAGCCTTACCTCTGCATGTTTAACAGAGAGCTGCTGGGCTGGAGTTGGACTGACCAGAATAGCAACAGTTTTACTTTGGACTTAAAAACACACACACACAACCTTATCTTTATTAATTGTTGTTTTTTTTTTCATTTATGCCATCTCAGCTGTTTGAAATCCCCCCCCCCCCCCCCCCCCCACTAGAGCTGAAGGCAAGTAGCAACAACCTGAGAAGGTCCACTTTTATTCAGAGGGTTTCTACATGTTGACACACGAAGTGCTACATGTGCTGTACTGCAAACATACAATTTTCTGTTTTACAACTTGTTGCATAAAACCTACTCACCAGTAATTGCTCCCAGCTTTCTATACACACCCAGTGTTTGCTGACAGTGTGTTCTCTGGGCAGATGAATGACCGGTTTCTCTGAAGCAGGGTATTTGTGATAGAGCAAATGTGTTTGTGTTTGTTAAACTGAAACAAACGATGTCACAGTTCGACGTTGGAGAAATGAATGGTTGACAAACGTAGATGAAACCTTCTGTGGTTGTTTTTAAGAGCCTGACTGAAAACATGAAATGAGGAGGTTTATCAAAAATATTTTACAGGTATTTATAGTTTTGAAGATGTTTTAGAAAGTCTTTGCATGACGCAAAAAAAATCAATAGTATCTTTATGAAAATCTCTAACTGGTACATTTTGATGTCTATTTTAAATTAATATATTTCAACTGCTGTAGTTACAAGGGAGCTTTATCCCTATTTAATGACTTTTTTCAATGAAGGTGAATGTGTATAGGCAGTGTACATAACTTAAAGTTATAATTTCCCTTTCCCCTAAGTGGTATTCATCTAAATGGCTCAGGAGTTTTGGTCAACAAACAAAACAAAAATGTTTAAATACCATGGACTATTTTGCCATATGCTTGTGGGTGGTCAGCAGGTTAGCTAACTGGCTGTGTTAGCTTGAAATCAGAGAGCTATTGCTATTTTTCCTTTCGAATGTTCAGCTAAGCTAACTAGATAACAGAGTTAAGCTTGGTGCCCAATTTAGTAGCAAGGTGCTTCATTTCATATTTCTTTTCCTAGACCTTACATCTGGCTTTTTAGCCATTCTAGCGGCGATGGGTGTGGCATTGTCGGTGGGTTCATAAGTATTGGATAGACTGTCAGGAAATTTGGTACAGATATTTATAATCCTACTAACTTTGATCCTTCTGACTTTTCATTTAGCACCTTCATCAGTTGAATTTTTTTCATTTGTCCAGTCCTTTGGTTTTTGCATCAAACCAAAGGACTGGTTTGCAGGTATTTGCCTTTGCTTTACGTTAAACATTATACCCAAACTTTGAAACTATAAATCCAGGGACTACAGATGAAGAATAGCCTTTTGGCTAATTCTGTTCCATTTACAGTAATGTTTATTAATGTACATTGTCCCTGTTAAATCAACTATTACATAAAAAAAAAATTGATTTAAATCTGGAACATATTTTGGTCAGTATTGAGATTTGCTCCCCTGCCGTAATTATTAACCCTTGTAGAGAAGCAAAAACATGTCATAATGGACATAGGCAACATTTAATTTCTTCCTTGTTCACCAATGTATTCATCCATATTGTTCACACTTTACTTTCCAAATGGTTTTCCATTAGCATGTTAGTTAGAATTTAGCTCAAAGCACTGCTACTAACCATGGAGACCATGATAAACATGCTGACCACCAGCATGTTAACATTATTGTGAGAATAGTAGAATGTAATGTAGTCAGGAATTGTTGGTTTGGCCTCTGAGATTTAACCAGCCAGATAATTTCTGCCTGCAAAGCAGCTTTGGAGGTTTGTTCTCTAAGGGTTGTGATGTACTTGCTCGGCAGGCCTTTAGTTGAAACCCTGTCATGACGAAGGACATTTCCAAAGTCTTGTCTGTTGTGTTGGCTCTTTTTGTTGGTGAAGCTCAATCAAGCCTTTTTGTTTAACAAAGAAGAGCGGGTGAGCCGTGACCTTTACAGTCCAAAATTCTGTGGACTTTTACAGACTGGACCTCTGGGATTGTAGGTAAAATTTTTTCAGATCAACCCCTCTATCTCTGCATCTGTCCTGAAACCTGTTCAGTACATACTGTAACAAAGATGTGGAATCATCTTCTCCTCAGAAAATGACAAATGTAAAATGCAAACTGAAACACTAAAAATAATGTTTTTTTTTAATGGAAAAAGTTGCATTGATCCCATTTCCTTTCATTTCCTTGCAGCTTTCAGTTAAGTAAATTATACTCATGTGCTAACATGTTGTAACATCCCAACGGTAAAACCTCTAAGAAAAAGCCATGGAAATGTTCTGAATGTCATATTATCTGCAAAGGTTTCAGGCAATCAAGAGCGGATGTAAACACTCATGTACAGTAACTCCTAATGTTTTAGATGAATCTGAATTATTTTGTCTTGACTGATACAGTATATATATTGAAGATGTTTCTTGATTCATAGATGGATATTTTATCAAAATGCTGTAATTCATGTAAGTACCTTAAGATGCTGAATACATAGCATAATGCCTTAGATCTGTGGTTCTCTGTCTGGAGTATAACTGTAATTTTTACAGGTGTATTGTATGTGTCACATACTGCTGAGTGAGTATTTCATCACTTCATATTGTAGGTGTAAAAATAAACAGGATTTTTGTATTTTCTCCCAGGAAGTGACACTGTACAACCTGCTAACCTGTGAATCAACACCTGGAAATTACAGTAATACTCTAACATTTGATAATCAAGGTATAAAAATTGCTAATTATTTTGTTCATAGTTGCATTGTGTTGATGCACCTTGTATGTGCACAATGCAACAAGGGGATTCATACCTACTAACACCGTGCTTTTGGTTTCCCAAGGATCATTTCCTGATCTGTTTGCAACCAGCAGGGCTGCAGCAACATTGCTGGGTCTCTCAAAAAGCCAAGTAGTGATCTAGACCTGATACAGTACCATACTACTAATAAAAATTAAACACCCATTTGTGACATTATATTCTAATGAAATTCCATATTGGCCAAATTTAGAAAATGTAAAACCACTTGGGGAATGTTGAACTAACCTGTAATGTTTTGGGAGATCTCACATCAGTCATGGGTAGGGCTGAATATCCTTATGAATTTAACAAATTTTCAATAAACAAAACAGCATAAAGTCCTTAAATGTTAAATGTTGTAGCTGTAGAAGAGGAGCTGTGCAGAAATATGAGTCTAAAAGTTATGTTTATTTACACTGGACAGAACAAATGCAGTGCACACTGATGGAGAGCATTTGACTCCATTTACCATTTATCAGTTTAGAATTTTAGAAACCACTTCAGATGTAGTAGAAAACATCCTGATTTACCAGTTTCACAATATTTTCCAGGGCTAAACACACTAGAATTAGGCCTCTGCAAAGTGTTTCTGTCAGCTGTACTGTTTGTGAAATTTAGTATATACAACATCCTGGAAGAGAAACAACATTATGGTGGTAAATCGGAGCAATGTGTCGAAGCAGAGTGCAGGTGTGCAGCAGTCACTGTTTGCAGATCAATAGAGTTCCTCTCTGCTGTGATCTTCATATTGAGTCTCTCAGTGGTGACACAGTACCTACAGGTCGTTCAGAGTGTGAGTGTTTTATGCAAAAATCCAGACGTTCACACCACTTTATGCAAGCTGTCAACTCTAATGTTGCTTTTGCCAATGCTGCTTGTTAATTTATGATTCATGCCACTGTAAATAAATTATTTTTATTGAGTGGGACTGTCTTTGCCTTGGATGCAGATGGCCTCTTGTTCTGATGTGTTCTTCACATACTGCACACCTGACACTGACTGCATGGTGTGTATATTCAGTGAATGGGAAGGGCGTTATCCACCTGTAATCTGGTAAAAACGCATTTGTGCAATGCCCTGTTTTCAGCAGCAGGAGGCAGCATTATCCATCACTTCCCTCTGGGATGTACCTACAGTATAAATCTAATGATCATAAAATAACTCGGATGTAATTGTACTGCTCTGTATTTCACACACCATGTTTCTACTGCTTGGACTTGTTTTATTATGTTTTCGGTCTCAGTTTCTT